TGTAAACTTTTTATGTTATCATTACAGATAGACACAGTGGTAGCTAAAGAAACTTATTACCTGCCCTTGGGGCCCAAACTTCCCATGTGTTCTTCACTAATGTTTGCCAACTTTTCCTCTCCTAAATTGCTACCGCCTGGCAGAGACAGTAGATGAGATGTGGAAAAAATGAGAATTTGCTGCGGCTGATGGATTACTTGCTCAATAATTTCTCATCTATTCCTATTTGTTACTATGGTCTATTTTGATATGAGGCAACATGCACAAACTAAAAAGGGATCAAGACAACTGCAGAACTAGACATCAAGCACATTTCTACACAGTTACACCGTTCTGTGAACTGTGGAGTTTAGCTAAACAACAAAGTGACTTGACTTACCTCATTGATGAGAAATAGTTAAAGGAAAATAAAACAACAGAGGTATTAAATTTCAGTTACTAAGTTATGATACAGTTGGAACACTGCTAGTTTTAGTTTGGTCTTATTATGATGGATGTGTTTTTTGCGTTATATGTTAGAAATGTTAAGTCAAGGGGCCAGCCCCATGGCCGAGTGCTTAAGTTTGTGGGCTCCACTTTGGTGGCCCAGGGTTTTGCCTGTTTGAATCCTGGGCGGGGACATGGCACTGCTCATCAGGCCATGCTGAGGCAGTGTCCCACATGCCACAACTAGAAGGACCCACAACTAAAAATACCCAACTATGTACCAGGGGACTTTGGGGAGAAAAAGGAAAATAAAATCTTTTAAAAAAAAAAGAAATGTAAGTCAAATTGTACAATCATGTAAGAAAGTTAAAATGACTAAAAGCAGTCAGAGTAAATTTAGCAGGTTACATGCAAAAGGTTACACTTAAGTACGTTTAATGTTACAGTATCAGTATTTCATAGGTTCTCTTATAAGGTTCCCTTATACATTTTGCTGTAATGAATAATCAAATAATGTATTAACCAGCCAAAAATTATATATGGTGTCAGAATAAACTAAGTAAAACTATTTTTCAATGTCACTACTATAGTCTACATGGCTTTTGGTACAATTCTGTGACTATCAAGTTAGGTATGATACACAACTCATCACTCAGATATGGATTCTCAGCCCTGTCCTCCATCTAAAGGAACAAGCTCCTTAGGACCCTGTTTTTCAAACTGTAGGTTGCAATCTGTTAGTGGGTTATGGAATCAATTTAGTCACCATCAGCAATGAAACAGAGCAGAGAAGCAAACATCAACATGTATCAAACCACGAGGAGTGGAGGACTACTGTGAAACTTTTGCTTCAGTTATCTGTACGAATGCACACACACATAGAGCGTACTGCGTCTTTAATGTAAAATGGATCTCTTACTAAGAGATACTGTCAGAAAGTTTGAAAAACAAAGCCTTAGTGGAATAGTCATCTCCAATATTGGGGTAGGGGCTTGGGACTGGAGGTATCTGGGACATGCACTCGTGAAGGCTTCCAGTCATACTCTGGACCAGCACTACAGGGAAGTGGAGGGTATGGAGGGAGGAAATGATGGAGTAATGACCACTTGTAGGATACAATGTTAGCAAAGAGGGTTTAAGAACTGAGTTACTGATTCAAAATGCTAATTAATTAAACATCCCCCCCTTCACCAAATACAGCCCAAATCTCTGGGCTAAGCATTCATCACCCTTCCCAGCCGGGTCCCAACCTCCCTTTCTACTCTCTCTCTCATTTGCCCCTGCCTTTCTTCCACCCAACACTCCATGCCCCTCAGTGAACCACAAGCCTTGACGTTCTCCGCACCTGTCCTCCCCTCAGCCTGGAAGGCCTCTCCTTGTGAGCCGCTGGTCCCTTTTTTAAAAATTTATTACGGCATTTGGCCACGCACCTGCTGCTTAGATGACTGGTGGTCTCCCTGTTAGAGTGGTACCACTGCCCTTGCCTCCACTGTGGATGGGGCCATGGTTTCTTATTGTAGCTTCCTGGGGTGCTTAGCATCCTGCCTCTTACTCAGCAGGCTCTCTATAAATGGCGAGTGTTTTTTAAAACACACTTTAGATGTATTTAAATAATTTTTTTGTGTTACAAACATCCAACATGCATGCTGCACTGGTGTCACCGTGGCAGCCTGGGGGAGCCACTGAATTGTGGAGAGAGTGAAGTGACTACTGGTGCCCTCACATGTCCACTTTTTGCAGCCCCTCTTCTGAGGCTTAGCTTGAGCCAAGGATAGAGGAGGCCATCTAGGGCTCATTGTCTTTAAGCTTTTATGGGAAATTTTAAACATGTATAAAAACAGATGAGTATAACCTCCGTGTACCCATTATCTAGTTTTAATAATTTTTCAACTCATGGCCAATTTTGTAAATAACCATTTTTGAAAAGACAAGTTGTATTATACAGCTCTCCAACTACAGACTTGTCAATAATAGGCCTTGAAGGTCCATAAAAAACAGGAGTGTGATGGAACCAAACCGAACCAGACCGGACTCTGCAGGGAGCAAGTGGTATTAAAATAGACCTCTTGGGCTGGGCTGTGAAGACAAGACCTCCAGAGCAAGCATATCAGGCATTTTGTAACTTGGGAGTTACAAAAATCAAAACTTATCTGACTGGCTGGAGCCAAGTCTAGAGTTTCTGATGGAGGAGGAAAATCTGACTATGAAAGAGGGGCCACACAATGGGAAAAGGACTCAGATAGGGTCACAGTAAAGTCCTGCTCCCTCACTCTGAATCATCACCTTCCAGTCAGATCTACATCCTCAGGCACCTGAGACAGTCACCCTCGTGCTCCAGGATAAGCGAAAACTGTACCCTCATGATGAAATAAAAATAGAGCCAGTGAATAAGCAAATGTAAATCCATGGTATTGAAATGTTTATCATCAATTTTAGTATTACATGTACAGATCAGTAATGTAATCATTATGATACTATGTGTGTCTGGTCTAGTTTTTAAGGTGTAAAAGCATGGGGGCTGGCCCTGTGGCCGAGTGGTTAAGTTTGTGTGCTCCGCTTTGGTGGCCCAAGGTTTCGCTGGTTCAGATCCTGGGCGCGGACATGGCACTGCTCGTCAGGCCATGCTGAGGCGGCGTCCCACATGCCACAACTAGAAGGACCCACAACTAAAAATATATACAACTATGTACCAGGGGGCTTTGGGGAGAAAAAGGAGAAATAAAATCTTAAAAAAAATAATAAGGTGTAAAAGCATTTAAAATAATTTCATATATTAAATGTGGGACTTTAAATGCTTAGACATATGAAGTAATAAACGTTTAAATGCTCGAAAAATTGCAAGCTGTTAAACTTGTAAGTTTTCATTTATTTGTTGTGAAAGCGGTTTGTACATATTTAGAAAAATGTTAATCACTTACTACCTGAAGAACTGTTCATTTGATAAATCTATTAGTAGCTCGATTACTAAATAATGCGCAAAGGGTCACAGGGTTCTCTCACCACACTAAACCGTTGGGACATAAAGAATCTTAGAAGGCTTCTGGGATGTGAGGAAGGAATGTGCCTGTCCCCACTCCTGGGTGGGCAGTGTCTTGAGGGTGGAGTGAAGGGACTGTGGCTGAGGAGGGTTGAAGGAAAGGACAGAAGAGACCCGGAGCTGCTGTGTTGCTCTGTGAGAAGCCCCGTCCAGTGTGGAGTTTAATTACTTGCAATGTCATGGCCTGCCTCTCCCCTCCACCCCCACCTCCCTTCACTGGCTCTCAACCTTGGCTGCACACTGGAATCTCCCGATGCTCCCTGAGTCCCACCCCCAGAGACTCTGACTGAACTGTCTGGGGTGCAGCCTGGCACAAGACTGTTGAAAACTCCCTAGGTGATTCTAATGAGCAACCAGGGCTGAGAACACTGTTCCAACTGTAAGCCATCTACTTTTCCCTTTGTAATTTTATGTTTCTATCTCATACTGTGGGTCCCTATGTCTGTTTCTTCCCTCTCCTACTAGACTCTGGGCTCCCAGATGACCTTCCAAACAATGCATGCGGCCCTTTCCAGCTCCAGGTGACTCCAAGTGCCCACTGCTGATAGAAGTAGCAGAGTCACACCTTACTTTGAATTTAGGTTCTATAGTTAATGCTTATGGCAACAAATGAGTCAAAACCACACTGGACAACCCCTCAGGAAGGCTCCGCCCCAGAGCCTGATGTCCTGTCTTCCCATCACCATTCACATAGACAGCTTCCTTCTGGGCTGGAACAGAAAGCTGCCTCCTCCACCAGGCACCCGAGGTAGTAGGTGGATTACGCTCAGGGGCCACCTTGCATAAAAAATACACATTTAAGCACATGCCTCACCCTTAGCACAGCAGGATGCTCACACCATGAACAGCCCACAGGAACTAGAGTGACTGACCCTACAGGAGACACACGCCTCCCATCTCTCACCCACTCCCAAGCATATGGTCCTGACATCCACCAGTGGGTGGAATCACCCACACTATTTAAACATTTTGTCAAGGATGTAGAGCTGAATCCATGTGATGCAATGTATGAAGCAATGTGCCTCCACTGCACAATTCTATCCAGCTCAAGCAGGTGCTCCCCTTCCTTCTACCTGCCCCACAAGCAGCTGGCCCAGCCTCTCTCCCCTCCTGACCTCCCTTTCCTCCCTCTTAAAGGCTGCCATTCCCTAGGACTCTATCCTTGGCACTTTTCCTTAACTATTCTCCCTAAGGGCTCTCAGCCCTCCTTAGGACTCCTGAATCCATACAAAAAACAGCAAGACCTCCCTCCCCCATTAGGGGAGATGTGGCCCAAGAGTTTTTCCACTTTTGCGGTAGCCACAGCAGGGAGAGAGAGAAGGACCTCACCCAGGCCTTGGGGGCTGGGTTTGCAGGGAACATAGGAAGACAGAAAGTGCTCAATATTTTTCTGAGTGAATGAGTGCATGATAAGAATGGAACTTCCATCTGCCTCTAAAGGACCACCCCACCCCCCAGATATATTCTCAGGTCCAGATTTCACCTGCTTATCTGGGATCCCAGGCCAGGCCTTCTGCCACACCAAGCCACACCACGCTGAGCAGTGCTCACAGGCCTTTAATCTAGAACAGCCTGGCCATACTCCATCACAGCCCCAGGATGGTAGGGAGGAATAAAGATGTATGGCCATGTAGGCTGTGCCAACTCCGAGTCCAAGAGGGAAGGGCTAGGTCAGGCTGGGGCCTGGGCAGGGGCCTCCCGGCCCCAGGAGATGAGGGAGTTGCTGGCCTGGGCAAGCTCGGCGATGGACACCCGACCTCGCTGTCGGATGAAGTTAGCCACAGCAACCAGTTCCTCTGGGGTTATGTAGATGAACTTGCCCCGGTCGTCAATCACACCTGTGGGGATACACAGGTTGCAGGGCTGAGCCTTCTTGGGCCCTCCCAACCTGACCTGAAATTGCCTGCCGGCCCACCCACCCATTCAAAAGTGGCTCAGAGCTCTCCAGGACTGCTTGCCTGCCTGGCCTTTCCTGGCTGCATCCATTCCTGGCCAGGTGAGTCAAATCTGGCTTTCTTGCCTGTCGTCATCACCCGAAGCCAACCCCAGGCCTCAGCACGTACTCCTTGTGACCGTGTCCCCCTGCTAGTGCCCTCATTGCACACCCCTCCCTCCACCCAGGGTGGTCGCCCTGCCTCTGCAACAAGTCCCTGCAGCCCCCTGTGGCTAGATACTCCCCAGGGCCGGGGCCTGTAGTGATTGATTCTCATCCTCTCACCTGTCAGAGTCCCCTCAGCCAGCAGGTCCTGGATGCGGTTTATGGTGTCCTATGGGGAGAACAATTTTCAGAGCAGAAAGGGACGCTGCCATCCCCAGAAAAGGCACCTGCATCCTCCCTCCCACCACAGCCAAATATCTTCCTCTCCCTCTCATGGCTGCCCCCCATGGTGACTCCATGCTTCCTTTGGAGGGGCCTAGGGGAGAAGGGACTCTGGTCTGGGCGCCCTGCAAGACCCCCAAGAGAGGCTCTCTTCCAACCACAAAAGGAGGGATGGTGACATTTGGCTGTGAAGGCTGGTGCAGCCTGTTTGCAAGACAGTTGTCAAGGTAACTGGATTTGGGCTGCTTCAGTTACAAGGGCTGCTGGAGTGATGGGGTTTGGACTTGTTTCTTTTCCTCCCTGCCTGTTCTTCCATCTAGAAGAGAGGCAGGACTCCTGCATTGCCCAGAGACTCCTACACTCTACTCACTCTTGGTTGGGAGCATCAAGACTCTATCTCTAGGGCAGGCCTCCTCTGACAGCCACACAGACCTCGTGGCCACACTCCACATAACTGGCCACCTTCCAGGGCTTACCTGAGTCCGCAGGCCCACTTGGGAAGCCAGGTCTTCCAAGAGCACAACCTTGGACTGCTACAAAGAGAGGGAGGGAAGGGAGAGAGCCTGAGTATGGGCAAATCCCTCTCCGCACTGGAACCCTCTGACGTGTATATCCTGATCTGATCTGGGTGGCTGGATAAACACTGAGCAGATTCCTATGGGAGAGCCTTGCTCCCCTCACACTCACTCACACATGCTCAGAATCACCCATATATAAAGATACACACACTCATAAACTCTCTTATTCTCCTGTTTGTAGGGAGGGATCTCCCCATCTCACTCGCCCCACAAGCCCCGTCCTGGACTGGGGATGGCCTGAGACAGACACACATGTGGAGAGCCAAGCACACCTGCCACCTTCTCCTCTGCATCCAGCCGTATCTTTTTAACATCATGGACAGGTTGGAAGCACCACAGAGATGTAGGGAGCGGGTGCAGCCACCGAAAGCTATTTTAAAAGACTGTCACCAGGATTTGTGTTTCCTGAAGACGTGCTAGGACAAAGTGCTGAGGTGTAGGGCATGCAATGGTGAAAAAGACATAGCGCCTGCCCTTGAGCTCACAGTCCCGCTGGGGAGGCAGGCGAGAACAGGGACAAGGAGAGAGCAGATAAAAGGCCCCAACAAGCCAGGGTCTCAGCAGAGGCAAGACGGCTCATTCCTGCCTCCTCTTTGCTCACCGCTCCCCCGCCTGGAGACCCCCACAACCCTGACACACCCACACTTCTTCACCCATCCTCTTCACACCATCTGAGACACTGAGCCCACCCTTAAAATAACTACCGCTAACACTGCCTGGTACTTTCCACGCACGGCCATGTTTCACGTGCTTCCCTCATATCCTCAGTAGCAGCTTTAGTTCCTGGGCGTGCAGCTGAGGGTCCACTGCTGGGTCCCACACGTGCATCTGCCCCCGCCTCCCCCACACACAGATAGCATGTGACTTGAGAGAAGGCAGCCTTTTGCATTTTTGTGAATCTTCCATAGCAAATGAGCTGCAAGAGGAGTGACACGGTGACACCTCCCCAGCTGCAGATGGCATGTGACTGTTCAAAATGCCAAAGTGAATGTGCAAGCGGGGAGGCAAGTGAGCCGCAGTTGGGCCAGGGGGTGGGCAAGCACAAGGTGACCTGGCCAGCTGGCCTCTACCTACAAAGCAGGGAGCCGGCACTGGGCTCTTAGTGACAGCTCAAAGTGGAAACATGGAGTCACCCCAGATGGTCCCTGCAGACCTGGCCTGAGGGGCTGCTGGGGCCAAGTGTGTTTGGAAAAATAAACAAACCCAGCTGTTGTCAGAAAAGGGAGTGGACCGACAGGAGCAAGCCAGCCTTATGCTTCACATAAACTCCGCTGGGCACAGAAACATGCCTCCAGTTCTGAAACCCTAAGATGAAAGGGTCCATCCCCTTGGGGCCAGGAGGAAAGAGTGTGGGCTGAATTTCAGAAGTCCTCCTTCTCCCTGCAGACAGCAGCTCTGGGACAATCGGTCAGCACAGGCTAGAAAGACCTCTAAGCTCCAGAGGAGCTTGAAGAACCCCTAGAGAATGGCACTTCCAAAGAGCCACTGAAAGGGAGGGCTGGAACTGCCCTGGGAACCTTGTCCCAGGTCTCTGCAGAGGAGAGGGGGAGCTGACGCTGAGGGAGGAGGGCTCCCAGAAGAAGGGACTCAGGACCACGTTGCTGCCCACTGGGTAGGTGTGGACAGTGAGTTCCAAACAGCAGCAGGACTGTGTGAGAGATGTCCTGCCTGGGGCTGCAGCCCTCACTCAAGAGTGCCAGGGTGAAGAAGGGGCTCCATCAGAGGGGAATGGTCACAGCCTGAGGGAACAGAACCCTCTGGAAGCTCCCTCTCAGGAACCTCCGGCAGCCCCTCACTGCTAGGAGGTGTCTAAACCCTGCCCTCTTTCAGAAGACGTCAGGGGAGGATTATGCAAGCCCTGGCTTCTTGGCACCCCCTAGTACCACCCCCACCACCACCCCCGCTCCCTCTGCATTCCTTCCCTCAGCCGCCTCTGCACCTCTGAGTTGCACTTGAAAACCTCTCCCCTCGTCGCATCCTTCGTGGGAGAGAAGTTGCTTAGCAGCAAAGCAGAGCAGGATGTGCTTATGCAACCTGGAGCAGCATCCGGGCAGCCTGTGCCACGGCTGCAGACAGAAGGGGACACACCTGCTGCCCCATCCTAGACTCCAAAGGAAACAGTATCCTGTTCCCCCCGGAAGACCCAAGTTCCTGGTCAGGAACACATGGCAGGGGACACTTGTTTCAACTCAGTGGAGCCTCAGTGAGGCAGAACTGACAGAAAACACATGGGAAGAAACTTGGAAACACAGTGACTCAGTGAGCGTGGGGTCTGAAGAGCAGGGAAACTGTCAAACCCAGAGTGTGAGGAAGTGATCAAAGGCTTGCGCCTCCCACACAGACCAGGTCCTTCTCTACCTTTGGAGGCAGAGGAGAAAGGACTCTCCTGGCCAGGACCCCATCAGTTCAGCCTCTCTTGGCCTCCCTGCCCACTCCTGCATGAGCACAGCCCCTGCTCAGGTCTGCTCCCTCTAGGAGAATCCACACGACACGCACACGCGAGGCAGGGAGCTGACACTCAGGCTCTACTCTGCAGCTTCTTACCTTAATGTAGTTGATGAACTCTGTCAGGAAGCTGTGGGACTAGAGGAGCAGAGAAATCAGGGTGAGTGTCCCCTTTGCAGCACAGGAGTCTGTACCTATCCACCTGCCCACCTGAGTGTCACCTGCCTGCTGTCTGTGTCCCCACCCAACCATCTGCATGTGCCACTGGCCCACTTGCCTGCCTGAGCAGCAGAACCTCCCATGTTGAGGGTTTCAGAGGCACCACTTCTCCTGAGGACAAGGCCTCTGGCTGCTAGAGGCTGCTGGTCCTGATGCCTATGTGCCTCTCACTGCCTGACTAGGGAGGCAGGTGAGGAGCAGCGGGGTGTCTGGGATGGGGTGGCCAGCCTTGGGTCTGATACAGGCCTCGTCGTGGTGGGCGCAGGGAGGGGTTTCCCAGGGGCGACAGACCCACCTGTTCCTCAGTCATGGTCTCGCCCACACCCTCCTCCTCCACCACGAAGGCCTCCTTCAGTTTCAGGTACTCCTCATGTTCCCGCTGGGCCTGCTCCTCCCGGGCCTTCCTCTCTTCCTCTTCCTGTAGACACAGAGGAGGCAAAAGTCAGGTATTTTGGGGTGGGCATCCATCCCATCCCTGTTCCAGTCTCTGCTGCCTGCAAAGGGCACCCAGGCATAGAGCCCGGCCTTTTCTCAGGGACAGAGCTCCTTCAAGAGCCCATCTCCCTGGCCCCAAAGTGGAAAGGCAGGCAGAGGCCCCTCTTCTTGTCAATTCCATCACCTCCCAGACAGATGCTACTCAGCTCCCTTCTCAAAAATCCTGCCACGACCCCACCCCACAATATCTTCCAGTCACCCCCACCTTCTCCCTCCCTTGTCATGTCCAAACTTCATGAACAGACCCCCAGGTTCCATTTCCTCACCATCTATTCACCCCTCTAGCCCACTGCAATCTTGCTTCTGATGCTCAGCTCCACCAAAAACACGATTCCTGCTACAGTCTCACCCATGCCCTCCATCCCACTAAATCCAAGGGAGGGGTATCAGGCCTCACATCCCTGTCCTCTCAGCTGTTGGGCAGAGCTGACCATCCCCTCTTCCCTTCCTGGGCTTCCAGACCCCACCCTCTCCTGCATTTCTTCCTGCTCCTTAGGCCATTCTTCCCACCTCCTCCATCACTCAGCCCTGTCCCTTCTCTCTCCTTCACTCTTTTTCTGGCCACCTCACCATGCCCACAGCATCAAAATTATCTCTTTGTCAGTGACTGCCACAGTTGTATCCCTGCCCAAATCTCTCCTCCCAAACACACGCCTGCCCATGTGACACACCCACTAGGCCATCTTACAGGCAGCTCAAACTGAATTTGTCCCAGAAAGATCCTGTGATCTACTCCCCACACATCTGGTCCTCCTCCTGGGTCCCTGCTCAGTGAATCACACAGCCACCTGGCCAGCTGCTCTGGTCAGAAATGAGATCTAATCTACCACTTCTATCTTTAACTTCTGGAAAACTCAGTTCGTGCATGTTGCTCCATCACCACCACCACGACCTAGTGCAACAGCCTCCCCACAACCCAACTCATTTTCCAGAGCTCTCAGAAAGATCTTTTTAAAACATGAAGCTAAAGCTGCAACAGAGAATATACAAGATGAGCCTGGAGCATCTTGCAGTGCCAAAAAGTAAGAAAGCACTCAAAAAACAAAATAATGAGTGTATGTCAAAGGTACACAGGAGCCAACTGAAAGAGCTTCCAATGGCCAAAGCAGGAACAATCGAAGCAACAAAATAAATAAGACAGTATTGAATTATAACACAAAGCACAAAATAAATATCCATAAGTCCAAGTAGATATAAATAAACGACTGAATCTGTAAACAGAAAAGAGATAAATCTCCTGTACAAAAGAATTCCAAATGTTTTCTGTAGATACTCTCCACTCGCTGAGGTGGAGCGTAACTCCCCACCTCTTCAGTGTGGGCTGTGCACGTCGACTGGTTTCCAAAGAGTATGGGAAGGGGGAGAAACATTGCAGTGGAGGAATCCAGCAAACGCCACCTCAGCTAGGTGATCAAGGTGTACATCACTAGCGGTAAGTCAAGTTGATAAGGCGTACCCTTGATATGCTATATTGAGAATGGCATTGCACCTGTGGTCTTCCTCCCAGAAATCCATGACCCAAATCTAACCATGAGAAAAACATCCGCCAAACACAACCTGAGAGACATTCTACAAAACTTGCCCAAGATGCCTCAAAATTGTCAAGATCAAAAGCAAGGAAAGTCTGAGAAACCATCACAACCCAGAGGAGCCTAAGGAAACCTGACAACTAACTATAATGTGGTATCCTGGAAAAGAAAAAGGATAGTGGGGTAAACTAACGAAATGTGAAGAAGGTGTGGAGTTTAGTTAATAATAATAATGTATCAAATTAGCAGTTGTGAGAAATATACCACAGTAAAGGAAGATGTTAATAATAGGGGAAACTGAGTGCAGGGGAGAAGAGCCCCAGGATATTTAAGGTACATCAGGTAGGATCAATCTTCAGAAAGGTGAAAAAACTCTCTCCACAAATGCCTCCTCTCTGCTGTGTTCTGGCCCATCCCCCAGCACCCACAGCCAGGCTTTCTACCATCCAGTGTCCCTGGATAACACAGTCAGTTAGAAGCCTAGGGCGCTAGGCTATGAGGTCTTCCCAAGTAGGGCAGCCCTGGCTCTCACCCTATATACACCAGCTCTTTGGGACATTCCCTTTCTCGGGTACCTAGTTCTCAGGAGGAAGGAAGCACCTGGCAAACAAATGCTCATTAACTACCTTTATTGCAGTGGCCCCCATTTCCTGAATGTCTCCTCTATGCTAGGCCCTAAACAGAACCTAGTTCAGGTAAGATCTAGCATCCCTTACAATGACCCTTATCAGCCTCAAGGCTCAGGATCCAGACGCCCCCTTACTCTATGACCCTTCTCTATCTTGTGTACCCTGCTCTAGCCACTCTAACCATTTGAAAAATCAACGTTTTTCAAATACTCCAGGTATGTTCAATAAATCACAGGCACAAAAATCCCCATCTCAGGCTCTGCTTTCCAGCAGCAGCTTTACACAGGCTGCGTTTAGAGCACAGGGACCAGATAAACCAGGGCCTCCCCTGCGCCTGGTCCATGGCCCATCTCCTCGGTTGGAGGTGTTGGGAAGCAAGGCTGCCTGGCGTCAGAAGTCTGGATCAGGGGTTTACCTCACCTTCTGTTCCTCCTCCAGGCGAAGCCGCTCCTCCTCCTTTTTCCACTCTGCCTCACGCTGGGACTCCAGGCGTTTCCGCTCCTCACGCTCAGCCTCCTCTGCCTGAAGAGAGGCCTTCATAGGGAACACATCCCCACCTCCAGCTGGAGCTTGCCCACCTCCCAAACAGGCCAAAGCAGACAACGCCTGAGCCAGGCCACGGACCAAGGCTGCAGGAGACAGGCAAACAGCAAACCCGAACCCAGTGTGCAAGGAGCCTCGAGGGGAGTGTCTGCCATAGGGGACAGGGAAGGCAGGGCCCTTTCTCACTTCCCAGAACTGCACCCCATCCCTCCTGCTTGCCTCACGCTGGGCTTTACGCGCTTGTTTCTCCTCCAGCTTCCGCAGTTTCTTGGCTCCAATTTTTCCTGATGAGTGAGTTTCTGTTGGCTTCTCGATGCCTTCTTCCTCCTGGGCTGAGTATGGTCAGGGAAAGACATTTCAGGTCCTGTCCAGAGAGGACCACTGATGATGGATCCACTTTACCCCTTGTCCTTCTCCTCATGGGGGGATCCCCTTCCACCCACCTGCAAATGTTATGAGGTCAGCTCTGTACTCCAGAGGCATCTGCCATGAATGCAGAAATTCACCCTCTGGGTGTGTGTGTTAGGGATAGGGGAGGGGTGAGGCAACCATGGGGCAAGGGAACAAATGATAACTTTAGATGCTGCATAGCCATAAAAAGGGAAGTGCCAGGTTCTAATATATGACTGTATGAAAATCACATTCAGGACTGTTCGGGCTTGCAGAGTTCTCTGGTTTCTGTCTCTGAGCCAAGCCTCCAGGGAAGCATGGCCCCATGGGGCTACTTATCTGTCTCAAATCTGAAATCATGCTCACTGTGATCTGGAACTGCTGAGGGTTCTGGGCTCTGCCCCTGGCCAGGGTTTTGCCATTGTCCCACCAGACCCAGGGCAAAAAGACAGCCCAAACCCCAGGACTACCCCAGGAGCTACTAAAAGTTAAAGACCCACTGATGCCTAGCAGCAAGGATGTCTGACTCCAAGTCCGAGATGGAGGGATGGCCCAACAGAAGGCCTCTTTTTTGAGCCAAAGGGGCTAGTTCCCAAGGGTATAAGGGCAAAACCCCCAAATGCCTCCTCCTCAGGCTCAAGCCAGCTGCTGAGTACCAAAGAAGAGAGATTCTTTCTCACAATCCTAAGAGCTCTGTTGGTTTCCCTGCACCACGGATATGGAGGCCTCTGTCAACACGATGTCTCTATCTTCAAACGCTGCTTCTAGGGTTACAGGTAAGCCTTCTCCAGGAACTGGAGATGCTCTTGGCCGGCACTCTGGCCCTAGGGTGAGGCCCTCAGGCAATGAGTGTACCCACACCAGGAAAGATGCTGGGACATAAGGAAGGGACTGAGAAACTCTCTAGGACAATCTGAAGACCCTTACCCTCCTGCTTGGACACTGAGAGCCAACATGAAGGAAGAGGGGGTTGGTCCAGAGGAATAGGGGCCAAGGTCCAGAACTGCTGGTCCCCAGGACCAAAGGCTGGTCCCAAGTCTCCCCCTACTCCATTCTATGGCTCCCAGATATCCCTCCCACACCGTGGCTTGACACCTGACTCTTCCACCCAGTTTTGGGGGTCCTCTCACCTCCTAACCCAGCCCCCTTCCCTACCAGGTTGGGCTCCTCTCACCTGGAATGATGGCCTCCTCCTCGTTCTCATCCACCTCTGACCAGGCCACGCGCTGGGCTCGACGCTGGGCCTGCAGGCGGCTGCCCAGGTCCCTCCGGCGCCGGGGCCTGCCCCCAGCTCTCTGCTCCTCAGGCTCCAGGGGCCGAGGCTGGGCCACTTGGCCTGCTACTATTGGCTCCTCTTCATTATTCAGTGGCTCTTGGCCAGCTGTAGGGAAGAGAGGAACCACGATGCTGTCCAGCAGCCCAATCCACCTGATGGCAGGGGAGCAGCATCCTGGAAGCCTTACCCTCTTCCACTTGACTACCTCCAGGCTTCCGCTGCCCACAGCACAAAGCCCCAGCTTCCAAGACCATAGTGGCCTTTACAACCCAGACCCACACCTTGGTCCTATGCAGCAAGATCATCTCTTCCCTCCTGCCTGTGTCAATACCTTTCTCTCCCCTCAAGGCCCCACCTTTCCAGTAGGCCTGTCAGGAGACTACCACCCTACAAGATGGAGCTGAAGCTCTACCTCCTCCAGGAAGACCACCCTGACCTCTCCAGATCTCATCTGAAGGCCCACTGCAGGACAGCATTTATTTCTTGCCTGACACCACCTGCCCTGGTTTTACCTGGCACCTCAGAGAGCACACCTGAGGTCTGAGTCTCTCTTCCTAGGAAGATCTGTTGGCTTACCTCAGTTTCTCTCTCCCCTGCCCCTGGAGCATGCAGGTGCTCTGAAGTAGCTTGTGGGCCCAAGAGGGGAAGAGACATACACATAAACCCATATGCTGACAAGAAATGGGGGCGGCGACGGGGAGAGGATGACAGGTATGTCTGTTCTGTGCCCTGGCCGATGACATGGCCTTCCGGTCGGGGTGGAGAACAGGGTGGAGGATGCATGGCCGCATAGCTGCTGTCCTTGACAGGTAAGGAGAGAGTTTCAGGGTGTCTCCGGGAGCTGCGTCCTGCTCTCTCCAGCTCGTGGGTAGGCAGAAGACACTCAGGTGCCCCCTTCTCGGCCCTGGCTCTGGAGTCAGCCTGGCGGGGATGGAAAACCCCTGCGGCCTCTTCAGTGAGCGCAGAGCGGGATCGTCCCGATGAGGGACGGGAGTGTGTCCGCCAGGGCTGGGCCCCTTTGGGTCTGGAGGTTGGGAGTGCTAGGGGGCGAGGAGAGGGATAGGGCGAGGCTGTCTTTTGGGGCGGGGAGAAAGGTATAGGGGCGCTGCCCGCCGGCCACAGGCTGGGTTCTAGCACTGCATCTCCCCGCCAGACCCGTCGCGCATGCGCGCGGCCTGCATGACGCGCGGCTCGCAGCCCGGCGCCGGGATCCTCGTCAGCCCAGCCAGGCATGCCAGCGCATGCGCAGGAGCCGCAGCGCGACGGCCTACGAAAGCTCAAGAGGCCAGAGAACCAGGCCCCATGGGCCCCGGCGCGGCGGCATCTCTTACCTGCTGCCGCCCGGCCCCGCCTGCGAGTCAGGAAAAGGATAAGGCCGACAAGCAGAGCCGCCGCCACTAAGTACACCACGGGGGCCATCAGGAGGACGGCTTCCAGGGGGAACAAGCGCGTCCGCGCTATGCCCCGGGATCTCCCAGGCCCCGCCCACGCCCCTAAGGCCCCTCCCGTTTCCCATCTTAGACTCCGCCCACCACCCGGAGCCCCGCCCAGGTCGCACACGTCACAGACAGGCCTTAATTTTTTAGTTTAAAATAAAGTTGGGGGTCGTAAAAAACCATAATGTTAAGTGGAAATTATTGCAAGTAGTTATGTCAGCATGGCAACATTTATGTATGTTTTAAGAGCACTAAAAAATACCACATAGTGTTTATGGAAACGTGGAAAAACTACAAAAAGATGCTTAGAAATGATACGCACCAACTTCAGGACAGCATTCTCCTCTGGGGAGAGAGATGGAATGCATGGAATTAAGAGCAGAGCTTTGCCTGTATCTGTGACATTTGATTTCTTTAAAAAAGGAGAGGGAGAGACCAAGTCTTCTATTTAAATAAATTGTGATATACTTTTGTACTCAGATCTGCAATTTTTTTTTTTTAAAGATTTTACTTTTTCCTTTTTCTCCCCAAAGTCCCCCGGTACATAGTTGTGTATTCTTCGTTGTGGGTTCTTCTAGTTGTGGCACATGGGACGCTGCCTCAGCGTGGTCTGATGAGCAGTGCCATGTCCGCGCCCAGGATTCGAACCAACGAAACACTGGGCCGCCTGCAGCGGAGCGCGCGAACTTAACCACTCGGCCACGGGGCCAGCCTCTCAGATCTGCAATTTTATACCTATTTAAAAATAAAATTAGCTTTATTAGGTTGTACAAGAATTAGTTATCCAATTTTCCATAGTGAACACTCAGAATTTAAATGCCCACAGGGAATTTAAATTTCCCTTTAATTCTTAAGAATCTATTTTAAAAACTGGGGACAAATTATACCTGAATTAAGCTGCTTTTTAAGAAACGAGAGGATGTAAACTCAAGGTTTTTTAAAAAGCAAATAACAATTACTGGGAATTTGCTATTACAGTATTATGAAGCTTTTTAGATGTGATAACATAACTAAAGATTGCTGGCCCAATGGTGTGTGTGTGTGTGTGTGTGTGTGTGTGAAGACTTGAAAAAATATGGCAACATGTCAACAGCTTAATACCTGTTAAATTAGAATGGTGGGAACTTTAGCATCTATTTTATTATTTTCTGTAAGTTTAGAATATTTTATAATTTATATTTTTAAATTTTACACAAGCAAAAAGGGCAGCATAGATAAAATAAAAATAGCAAGTGTTGATAATTGTTAAGGTTGGGTGATGGGTAAATAGGGGTTCTTATACTGCTCTTTTCTCTATAAGTTGACATTTTTGTGAAGTTTGAAATTTTCCATGATAAAAACTTTTATTAAAAAGTAAAAGTTGAAAGGCCAGCTCCAGTGGCTGTTTGTTTGGTGTGCTTAAGTTTGGTGTGTTTGGTGTGGTTAAGTTTGGTGTGCTCCACTTCGGTGGCCTAGGTTTGATTCCTAGGCACACATCAGTGGCCACGCTGTGGTGGCAACCCACATACAAAATAGAGGAAAATTGGCAACAGATGTTAGCTCAGGGTGAATCTTCCTCAGCAAAAAAAAAAGTAAAAATTAAGACTTTATACATTTTTCTGCTTAATTTGCACGTGCACAGAATGTTGTCTGGAAGGGCAAAACAAAAAACTGTCATTAGCGATAACTCTTCCTTGCTGCCTCAGTTCACATCATTTTTATAGCTTTCATATGGAGTTTTCAGAGTCCTGGACCCCAAGTATGTCACTTAAGGTTTGTGGACAGACTGGAGGGGGTGGAATATAGCAGGGAGAACAACAGTGAGAGAGCTGCTGCCCTGGTTTAAGAAAGAACAGAATAGAGGGGCTAGCCCAGTGGCGCAGTAGTTAAGTGCACACGTTCTGCTTCAGCGGCCCAGGGTTTGCAGGTTCGGATCCTGGGTGCGGACATGGCACCGCTTGGCAAGCCATGCTGTGGTAGGCGTCCCACATATAAAGTAGAGCAAGATGGGCACGGATGTTAGCTCAGGGCCAGTCTTCCTCAGCAAAAAGAGAATTGGTGGCAGATGTTAGCTCAGGGCTGATCTTCCCCAAAAAGAAAAAGAACAGAATAGGGCTGGATTCATGACAGTAGCAGTTAGGGTTGAGAGGAGAGGACTGATTCAAGAACTATTTCAGAGGTAGAGCCGATAGGACCTGACAAGCTCCTTTGAGGGCAAGAATCACCCTTCTTCGCCTAACTGGGTTTTCCCCACAATTGAGGGGAGTGCAATTCCAGAGATTTCCTGTCGTAGTCCTTGCTAAAGGGGATAAAAACTTACATATTTTAATTCTAGCATAGTCTATTTAATGAATGCATGACTAATATAATCCCCTTCCTTTTTGTTCAGAGCAACTACAACTTCACTATCTCTTTATAGGTTGGCTCATCAGTTAAGCAAACCAATCAAACATTTTTGTTGTTGTTCTGTTGTTGCCTGAAGAGGATTCTGTCACTTGCAACCAACAGGCCTGACTAAAGATCATACATACACAAACTTTTGCATACAATTTTGGGTATTCACCTATCTCCTCCCTTCCCCCAAGGCCTTCAGATTTAGAGTGTGGTCTATCTAAAACAAACATACATTCACAATACTCCCTGTTTAATAACCCTTTGTGGGCTCCCACAGTTTGCTGGGTGACTGATCAGCCTCCCCAACCTAGGTAGCTCTCTCAGCATCCAGGGCACCCAGGGTCCTTGCACTGGCCATAGCATTTGATACTTGTCTGTGGAACACCAGCTGCCTATACCCAGCCTGTCGCAAGCTGCCTAGCCTAAGACTGTTGCTGAAGCTTTCAACAGCCAGGTCAGCTTTGCTGAGGGCTACCTCCTCTGCCCCTCCACCTCCCTACAGATGATTTCATGAAGAAGGAAGACATGAAACAGGGAGGGCTACCCTCTCCCTGAACTTAACCCACTACTTCCCAGATCAACTCCAAGGAACCTCACAAACAGCATCGTGGAAAGGTCACTGAACAGGAAACTTCAGAACCTGCCCCAGGACACAGTAATGCCTGTGCAATACTCCCATTATCTAAGATCACTGAGAAAGGTTTTTAGAGAGCTTGAAATTTCTGGATGTTCTCTGAGGACAAATTCTGGGTTCTAAAAAAAATTCATCAAGATTATCAGAGGTCAGTAACATTAAGCAAAATAACTCATCGAGGCACTGATAGACCTCCAGACTTCTGCTACTCCTCTGACAAGACTCGCCACACCAGGAGTAGAGCTGGCCCTAAATCTCCTTTGCTTTTAACCCTTGGTTGCTGAGTCCCTGGAGGAGGGAGACAGGTGGCTTGCCCAATGAGGGTGTCAGCAGTTGAGCAAGGCCTGTTGCACAGGTGGGTCTGCTAGAGCATTTTCTACTCTTCACCGTGTTCGGGATGCAAAGATCTGGCTGAGATGGTGGATACGGACAAGGGATGATGGATTTGAGAGGCTGGAGGGATGAGGGAATGAGGGAGTTGAAATATTGAAGTCCGGAGGCTGGGAGATGGATGAAAAGACCGGGCTTGCTTTAGGCGATGCCAAGTCTAAAATCACAGTCAAGAGATCAGAGCTGGTGGGGAAAGAGAACTAAGGAAGCGGCACCGAAGGTGAGGTCAGCAAAAAGACACAGGCTTGGGAGCCCTTGCCCAGTAGGAAACAACAGTTCTGAGAGACCTTGGAGTTGCCCGCAGAGCAGGCGAATCGCCCAGAACATGGGCCTGCAGCTGATCGCGGGCCTCCGTGTAGGGACAAGGGGGTTCTTTGCTTCCCTCGGGGCCCCCCTCCCAGAGAGGGGCGACAGCGGGGGTAGGGCGGGTGGTTGGAATGGTCTCTTCCGGTGCTTGAAGAGAGGGTCCCTTGGCGGGAGGGACGGGTCTCGGCGTACTCAGCCTGCAGTCTTGGGAAGACCCTAGCAATTCGGGCGCAGGGGGGCCGCGCCATTTTCCTCCCTTCTAGCGCTCGGCGCCGCAGGCTGCTCCTCCAGAAAACGGGCGCTACGCTCCCCAGGGGTCTGAGTGGGGAAGCTGAGCGCGACCCGTCGCAGCCGCGCAGCAGGATTCCGACGCCGCCGGACGGGAGACCCTCGGCCGGAATCCAAGCCGCCCCCTTCCGCCGCCAGCCGGAAGTGCTTGCGACTCGAGGCAAAGGAGCTTCCGGTGTGTCTGCCGGGTCTCCGGGTCTCACCATGGCGGCCTCCTTGGCCGGCAAAGAGATCGTATTTGTCACGGGGAACGCCAAGAAGCTGGAAGAGGTGCCGGGAGGGTGTGGGAGGGCGACCAGGAGGCGGCTAGGGGTAGCATGTGGCAAGGCCGGCTGGGGTTAGGGTGGAGAAGGGGCTTCCAGGCGGACGGAAGCACGCGGGGAGAACGGAGCGTGGGGCTGGGAGGGATGGGTTGGACCTGCGTGTGTGGAAGAGGTTGGGCCGCACGGAGTGGGACGGCCCTGTGTGTATAACCTGGGGTTGGCCTTGATAGAAAAAAGGCTTTGACAGATCCGGGCACAGAGCTTGTGGGCTTAGGGGCTGCGTGCGCCGAAGGAATGGCGGGGTGCTTAGCACCTGTCGCAAAGGTCACCCATTAAGCTAGACCTCAAACCGGTACTCCGACAGCCGTCTGGAGCTGATCCAGACCCCGCTGTGGCCAAAGAGGTGGGTCATGTGTGAGGAATCATGATGACACCCAATAGATATGGCTGAGGCAGATCAGTGGGGTGCAGTCATTAGGGGACCCTTCGTTTGTCCACAGCAAAGGGATCCATGGCATGCCTGTGCCAGTACAGGGTGAACTTCTCAGGTGCCAGAGCGCTGTGCTGATAACAGGCTTGGAATCCTGAGGCCAGACTAGTCAGGCAGACAGGCAGTGCCACCCTGAACAGAGCCCCATGCAGGATGGTGGGTGCCAGTTCCCAAGCCCATCTCTGCCTCTGGTTGAGGAGGAGGCCCTCCCACGTTCAAAGAAGGGACTGGAATGGCCAGAGGAGGGTCACTGGAGAAGACGGACTTGAAGTTAGCCTAGAAGAGAGAGTCTTAACTCTTCATTCCCATAGTAACCATTGGCAGACTGATGAA